CATTTGAATACTCTTTAGAAGGAAATCTCTGTTCATGCCTTTTGCTCTTTTTTCTAATTATTTGGTTTTCTACTGTTGAATTTTGAGAGTTCTTTATATTGCCTAGATACAAGTCTCTTGTCAGATATGTGATTTGCAAATATTTTCTCCCAGGTTATAGCTTGTCTTCTCTTCCTCTTAGCAGTCTTTCACAGAGAAAAACAATTTTTTTTGATGAAATACAATTTGTCCATTTTCCCTGCTATGAACTGTGCTTTTGATGTCAGGTCTGCGAACTCTACCTTACTGCGTATCCTATTTTTTTCCCTAACAGTGTTATGGTATTTTGTTTTACATCTAAGACATGATTCATTTTGAGTTAACATATTCGGAATGTGTGAGGTTTGTTCCATGTTCATTTTTTGCCTGTGGATGTCCAGTTGCAGCAGCATCGTTTATTGAAAAAAAAAATCCTTTTTCCATTAAATTGCTATTGTATCTTAAAAAATCAACTGGAGCTGGGCATGGTGGCTCACCCTATAATCCCAGCACTTTGGGAAGCTGGGGCAGTTGGACCACGAGGTCAGGAGATCAAGACCGTCCTGCCTAACATGGTGAAACCCTATCTCTACTAAAAATACAAAAAATAGCCGGGTGTGGTGGTGTGTGCCTGTAGTTTACTGGAAAGGCTGAGGCAAGAGAATTGCCTGAACCCCGGGAGGCGGAGGTTGCAGTGAGCTGAGATTGCGTCATTGCACTCCAGCCTGACCCACAGAGCGAGACTCTGTCTCAAAAAAAAAAAAAAAAAAAATCAACTGAGCGTATTTGTGTCAGTCTGTTCCTGAGCTCTCCGTTTGGTTCTATTGATGTAAGTGTTTCTCTCTCCACCAACAGCACACTGTTTTGATTATCTGTTTGATCAATCACTGTTTGATTATTGATTATCTCTAGTATGTTATAATATTGGGTAGTGTATACTCCTCCCTTTTATTCCTCTGTAACATTTTGTAGACCAGTATCCTCAACAGATATTATTCACATATTCAAAATAACTCCATAATAATAACAATAAAAACAAAAAAGTTTTTGGAAAATTATTAGTAGAGGAAGGACAAATCATTCTTAGTATCTAAGCTACAAAAATAATATTATATAGTTGCATTTTGAATACTTGACCATAACAATTATGTCTCTTTTTAAATTTTTTCCTGATTAATTTCTCACTGATATCAAAGACACCACTGGCAATTTATTTTCATTGACATGTTAAGTGCATTCTGTGGAATTCCAATTTTTTTTTTTTTTTCTGAGACAGAGTCTTGCTCTGTCATCCAGGTTGGAGTTCAGTGGCATGATCTCGGTGTACTGAAAACTTCACCTCCCTGGTTCAAGCAGTTCCCATGCCTCGACCTCCTGAGTAGCTGGGATTACAGGTGTGTGCCACCATGCCCAGCTAATTTCTTTTTGTATTTTTAGAAGAGACAAGAATACAGATGAACCACACACAGATGAAATGCATTTTTCCTGGGGCGGAACGTTCCACAACCTTGATTTCATGCTTAGTTTTTCAAGGCCTGTTCCTGGAGTTCTTTAAGCAACGCACGTAAGTTAAGTGTTATTAGAAGCTCAGCATAGAAAAAAGGGAGAGTAAGAGAAAAACAAAGGAGAATAATTGTTTTTCTAAATGGGTGGTAGATGTAGTTACAGGCATTCATCTTCAGATGGAATGAAACCAATTGGAAACCAATAGGTTTAAGATTTAAAAGTTAAAATTTTATTGAACGATTTTTAAATTCTGAGTTTAACACCTCTGTAAGTAAAAATGATGTATGCAAGATTTATTCCCCATGATTATTTGATTTTCTCAGTCCCTTAGGAATAGCTTAATTCATTTCTTTTTTTATTTTGGAATATTTCTTTCTCTCCTCAAAAGAAGTGTTACTGTTTCCCAGATAAGGAAGAATGCAACATCCACGGAACAATCACAGCAAAAGTCTGGAATCCATCCAGAGGATAATAGCGAGACTAAAACAATATAGCATCTATCGCTGTGAAAAGGGCTTTGGGTGAAGGTCATCAATAGATGCTTAATCTAGAGGGAGGATAAGTATGATAAGAGTAGGATATTTGCCTGTTTTTTTCCAAACTTCTCATTAGTTGCAAAAGGAAAAATAATTACTGTACAGTGGAGAAACCATGCAACATCTCGACCAGGTGATGGCAGAAAATTTTCCAAGGGTCCCCACTATTTCTGCAAATCTCATGCAGAAACATGTGGCATTTTGTTCTGGATTCCGTTTTTAGGAATGTTTCTGTCATAAGCAGCTTTAGGAGATAGATAGCTTCTCCCTCCATAGGAAAACGAAATAATGTTTATCATGCATTATGAAAGATTTGAGTTCCCTAAGCCCAAGGTCTTTCTCCTGTAATGCACCCAACTGCATACGTGGATACTCATCAGAACCCATTTGTATTATTCCCGTGGAACTTGAGGGCATTGAGAATACATGTAAATATGCTGCTGCTCATACTGGCAGCAGCACCGTGAATCATAATCCCTTTTGTGTCTGACTCAAGAAGTCAGACCAGCATCTTCACTGAGCTGCGTCAGCAAAATGTGGCAGGTTAAGTTTGGTAGCTTGCAAGTAGCGGAAAATCGCAGACCGTTCACAGTTCTTGACAGCTGGATCAAAATTAACCTCATTAACATCACCCATAAGGGATAGACTTTGTACACTTCCAAATACTTTGAGAAGGATACAACATCACTTACAAAGTATCTGACCAGGGCTGCATCACTAAAATCTAATTACAAGGAAACCTCAACAAACCAATATGAAGAATTTTTTTTTTTTTTTTTTGAAACAGGCTGCCCTGTCTTGCTTTGCTGCCCAGGCTGGAGCGAAGTGGTGCAGTGAAGGCTCACTACAACCTCTGTCTCCTGGGCTCAAGTGATCCTCCCATCTCAGCCTCCCGAGTAGCTGGGACTATAGATGTGCACCACCATGCCTGGCTAATTTTTGTATTTTTTGTAGAGACGGGGTTTCGCCATGTTGCCCAGGCTAGTCTTGAATTCCTGGGCTCAAGTGATCTGTCTGCTTTGGCCTCCCAAAGTACTGGGATTACAGGCATCAGTCACTGCGTCCGGCCTGAAAAACATTTTCTAAACTGACCAGTATTCTTCAAAAATGAAAGTATCATGAAAGAGTTTTTTTTTAAGTCTAGAAAATTGTTTCTGAATAAAGAAGAATACAAAGGCATAGCAATTAAAGGAAATATATGATCCTAGACCAGATCCCGTACTGGAGGGAAAAATGCTTTAGAGAATATTACTGGGATATCGACAGAACTGGAATATGGATTGTAAAGTATTGCATTAGTATTATGTTTTCTGAAATTGATAACTAGATTATGGTCATGAGGAGAATGTTTTTGTATTTAAGAAAAACACATAGTATAAACAGATATAAAACCATGATGCATAAAGCCTAATTTCAAATGGTTCGGAATAAATGAATTATATGTTTTATATGTGTATATATACACCTAACTGTGGGTGATAGTTAAATAATAATAAAGCAAAGATGGTGAAAGATTTAAAAATTTGGTGAATCTGGGAAATGAGTATATGATTATTCTTTGTTCTATTCTTGCAACTTTCCTATAATTTCAAAATTATAGCAAAATTAGTTTTTTAAAACACGTGGAATCTACAGGACAGTATAAAACAGTCCTTTACTTCTCTACTGCTTATCAGTTCATTCAGTGCCATTAAGCCAGCATCAGGAATTCCGTCCTCTTTGGTTTCCCTTTTTAGAGAGGAGATCTGGCTACATTGCCCACGTTGCCCCCAAACTCCTGGACTCAAGCGATCCTCTTGCCTCAGCCTTCAGAGTAGCTATGGTTTCTCTTTTTACCCTTCCCTCCCCATACAACTCAGTATTTTAAAACCACATTGCCGGCCGGGCACAGTGGTTCACTCCTGTAATCCCAGGACTTTGGGAGGCCGAGCTGGGTGGCTCACGAGGTCAAGGATCGAGACCATGGTGAAACCCCATCTCTACTAAAAAATACAAAAATTAGCTGGGTGTGGTGGCACGCACATGTGGTCCCACCTACTCGGGAGGCTGAGGCAGGAGAATTGCTTGAACCCGGGAGACGGAGGCTGCAGTGAGCCGAGATTGCGCCATTGCACTCCAGCCTGGCTCCTGGCGACAGAGCAAGACTCTGTCTCAAAACAAAACAAAAAATACAAAACAGAACCACGTTGCCCATTTCTTAGGGTCCACCTTCCTCTTTTTAATCTTTGACACAAGTAGCTAACACTTTCAGTTTCAACAGTTTCTTCTTAGAGCTGCACCAAGCTCCTAGTACTTCACAAACTCTATCATTTTTGACTCAGAGCAAATGACCACTTAATATTTTTTAAAAGGCAGCAGATATGGTGAAATTGCCATCCTAATTTACATCTATGCACACCTTTGCCAATATTGGGTATAAACTTTACCAATCTGTCAGTGGGAAATATTTCATTATTCCAATTCATATTTGCATTTGTAGTTATTAATGGTGTTGAACATTTTTATGTTTATTGGCTGTTGGTATTTTGTCATTTGTGAAATACCTTTGCAATCAGTCTTTTGAGGTCTTTTAATATTGCCTTTAGACAGTTTTTAAAGAAAAATCCAACCTACTCTGGTAGTGGGTGCCATTTAATGAAGAAGAAGGATGAGATATAATCTTTCAGCTGAAGAATAAGAAAAAGAACTTTCCAGACAGATACTGCTATATGTTGGGAAGGTATTTGACAAGTTTGAGGGACAGAAAGATGGGAAAGGTAAGCAAGGGTGAGTCAGAGAAGACAAAGATAAATATTACTCAGGACCTCATAGGCCAATTTCAGAATACTGGACTTTATCCTTTGTGGAGCTGGAAGCAGTGGATGACACAATCAGATTTATTTTGTAAAAACAGAACTTTGGCTGCTGCATAAAGAATGAGAATGAGAGCAGATACCAGGTCAGCAGTTAGAAGTTTATTATATAATTTAGGCTAGAGATGATGGAGGCAACAATGAAGATTGTCACATTGGATTATTCAAATGTGGTTAGCAGGAAGAATTTATAGCATGATTAATGATGGTTAGGAGAGGAAGGGAAAGGAATTTGTCAGTCGATGTGTCAATTTCTCATTTAAACAACTGGATAATAGTGTTGCTATTTAAAGAGAGAGGGGACACTGAAAGAAGACCAGTTCTGGGGAAGAATGTTACACATCAGTCGGGACATGTTGAGTTTATGATGTGTGTAACGCACGTACAGATGATGAATAGGCTATTGTATGTCAGGTCCAAACTTGGAAGAGAAGTCTGCACATTCAGGAAACTGTCTTTTCATTGTGTCACATGTGCTGCAGGTATTGTCCCAGTTCCTCTTTTGATTTTCTTGTTTCTTTATTTTTATTTTGAGAGGGAGTCTCGCTCTGACTCCAAGGCTGGAGTGCAGTGGCACGATCTGGGCTCATCGCAGCTTCCACTTCCTGAGTTCAAGTGATTGATTCTCCTGCCTCAGCCTCCCAAGTTGCTACGATTACAGACATGCACCACCACACCCAGCTAATTTTCGTATTTTTAGTAGAGACGGTGTTTCACCATGTTGGCCATGCTGGTCTTGAACTCCTGACCTCTGGTGATCAGCCCACCTCGGCCTCCCAGAGTGCTAGGATTACAGGCGTGAGCCACTGCCCCTGGCCCTGCCTTGCTTTATTATGTTTCTAATCATACAGACATTTTACTTTATATGGTGTGGTATAATTTGTCGATATTTTTCTTAGGGGCTTCCAGGTTTTATGTCATGCTTAGAAAGGTGTTTCATACTCTCACATTATAAAAATATTAATCCACACTTTTAAAAGTAACTTTGTGGTTTTTTTAAACATCTAAATCTTTGATGTATATGTATTTATATAACAGACCAACCTCTTGTGTATAACAACCACAAATGCAGGACAACGTAAAGAAACCAGTACCTGGGCACTGGCGAACAAAGAAAACCAGGCCGACTCTAGAGGAGAATGTACACTGGAAGGAGGAAAGGGCATTGGGCGATTTTACCACTTTTATGGGTCCTGGACTAAGGGCAGGCCACACTCATTGCCAGGTAGTATGGTGAAAACTCAGATAGAAAATCAATGTTTTTACCAGCTTAAAGAACCAGAGGTCACCATTTAAGAAAACCACAGGAACTGGGAAATGAGGACACATATCTTGGAACAGAGATTCACAGAGACAAAACACTCTACATGCTGTGTACAAACTCTGCCCACACCATGTAGATGACTCCTGACCTACAAATGCATTGTTCAGACTATGCAACCCAGCCAAGGTTAAATGACTTTATAGGAGATTTGTGCTGCTGTCCACTGCTGAAATGACAGAGTTGAGAGTTTCTTGCTTTAACAAAACATGAATAAATAAATAAAATAATTTACAAGAATTTAAAGACTTCAGAATCTCTAAATATAAGATTTACAAGTTACAAGTTCCAGTATAAAATCCAAAATTACTAGCCATGTGAAGCAACTGAAAAATATGAAGAATCCTGAAGAGGAAATCAATACAGAACTACCCAGAGGTGATCCAGATACTTAGCAGTGTTTTTATTTTTATTTTTATTTTGAGATGGAGTCTCACTCTGACACCCAAGCTGGAGTGCAGTGGCACAATCTGGCCTCTCTGTAGCCTCCGCTTCCCAAGTTCACGTGATTCTCCTGCCTCAGCCTCTTGAGTAACTGGGATTACAGGCACACACCACATACCCAGCTAATTTTTGTATTTTTGCATTTTCAGTAGAGATGGGTTGCCCTTCCTGAGGAATATCTTTGTGGTAGTCTCTGTATTTCCTGGTGAATCTGACTTGAATGTTGGCCTGCCTTGCTAGGTTGGGGAAGTTCCCCTGGATAATATCCTGAAGAGTATTTTCCAGCTTGGATTCATTCTCTCTGTCACATTCAGGTACACTGATCAAATGTAGATTAGGTCTTTTCATAAAATCCCATATTCTTGGATGCTCTGTTCATTTCTTTTCACTCTTTTTCCTCTAATCTTGCTTCTTGACTTAATTTGATGATTAAGTCTTTAATCCATCTGGAGTTAACTTTAGCATAAGGTGTCAGGAATGGGTCCAGTTTCTGCCTTATGCACATGGCTAGTCAGCTTTCCCAACACCATTTATTAAACAGGGAATCCTTTCCCCATTGTTTGTTTTTGTCCTGTTTGTCAAAGATCAAATGGTTGTAGATGTGTGGCATTACCTCTGAGGACTCTGTTCTGTTCCATTGGTCTACATCTCTGTTTTGGTCCCAGTTCCATGCTGTTTGAATTACTGTAGCCTTGTAGTATAGTTTGAAGAGGAACTTTCTATATCTAACAGAGCCCTCACCAACTTTACCTCACTTACAGTACCAGAACCACAGTATCCCCTTGGCAAACTCCTGTGTTCCTTTAGCAACATGCAGGCCAAGGAAAACTCCATCACCATCTAGCCTGTGTAGTTTAATTACACATAATGATGACAGTTCTTCTGTGACATGGAAAGAAGTTGTATTTTCTGAAGAAAATACATGAGGACCCTAGATGGTGGAGGAGTGAGCAGGGTCTGCAACAGGAAGATCAGGATATGAGCAGATAGAGTTCAGAAACAAGGGACAACCATATGAAGCCCTAAATGCAAGGACTTTGTCTCTCCCTTGTGTGGTAGAAGAGAAAGAATCAGATAAAGTCATTACAACTCTTAGGTTCTTCTATTTTGCAATGATTGAGAATACTTATTTAATTCTTCTATAAAAATAAGTGCTTAAATTGCCATTATAGTTAAATGTTTATTTAATCTGGAAACATGGAGTGGTGCTCCTTAGAAAGGCTGCCAGGCCAAATTAGTGCTGAGAGGGCATGTTGTATCCACAGTGGCCCTCTATGGTCTAATCAGGAGACAGAAAATACACGTGTTATTTGATAGAGAGAACTTAATATAAACAATAGTTATATAGCTTTTAAGGTGTTAACTATGAAATGGTAAAAAGAGAACTCTAACAAATCATGGAAAAAGCAATTCAGAAAACAAGTATCATCCCCAAGCCTGAGAGATCAAAAAGAACAAAGAAAAAAACTTATTAATAGAAACAGAGAAGGGCACTGTAGTCCTGAAACTCCAGCATCTCAGGAGCAGACACCAGGTAGCAGATGCTCGTGTTGGTGGTGGTGGTTGGGTGGCTGGTGGTGGTGGTCATAAGGCAGGTTCTTCAAGGAATGAAAAAAGTGCAACCTGGATTCTGCTGCTGCTACAGGAAAAAAAAAAAAAATGCTACAGGGGTGGAAAAAAAAAAGTACAGGAGGATTAGTTTTTAATAGAACCACAAGAAGACAGGAAGCCATAAAGCAGCAAACCGGAAATAGCAGTCCCTTCTTTCTCTCCAGCGTTGCTGCCCTCCTCTCACGCCCCCTGCTGGAAGACGCTACCACAGAACAGCGTGGGGAAGCAAAAATGAGATTTGGTAGCGTCCTCGCCACACTATCACAAGGAGAGTAGGGTGGAGCTAAGAGACGACATCTGGCAAAAGGATTTACAAGAGGGCAAGAGAAAATATGTCTAAAGGTGTGCCACTGGTGACGGATCTAAAGGAAAACGGTAAATTTTAATGAACACGCCTTCCTTGCCTCCCACACACTTGGCTGATCAGCTGTCTTTCCTGTTGGTACCACCATTTACCGAGGCACTATTGGAGAATAATTCTTGAATCTTTTATTTTCATACCTTGTGTTCAATCAATCAGCAACTTGTGTCAGTTCTGCCACAAGTCACTTCTACACACACAGTCACCAACCCAATTTAAGTGTACCTCATTTTTCACATGGTCTAAAGCAACACCCTTCTAAATGATATTTCTGTCTCTAGTTTCATCTCCTTTTAGTGAATCTCGACCCTAGCAGCACGATAGTATCATCTGAGAAACTTTTTAAACTATCTCATTTCCAAGGACCCTGATTTAATTAGTTTGAACTGAGGTCTAGGGATCAGCACTTTAAAAGCTCCCTAGGAAGTTCTAAAGTGCAGCTAGCTTGACAGCTATTTTTTTAGTCTGTCCTCAATATTAGTGTCAAATTATTTTATTATTATTTTATGGTGTGAAAATCCAGTAACCTTGGTTCATTACCCAGAATTCCTCAATAATTATCCATGTAAACAGACAACGTAGATAAACGACAGGCCTACGGTTCTTCTTGGTCAGTTTTCCACATACCTCTCCACCTCTGTCTGCTTAATTCTCCTCCCAGACACTGTCAGTGAACTGGAAGCATTTAACTTTCCTTTTCCAACAGCACTGAGCTACTTGCAATTTCCTGAACAAAAGATACTGTCACCTATTCATACATATGCATATTTTATTCTCTCCCAGGAAAAGAACCTCTCTCAAACGACAGCAAGCTTGAAACACTTTTAAAAAACACATAATGTACTCTTAATGTTCTTAAAGCAGTATTCAAAACTAAATCCTTTCTGTGGTATCAATTATATGAAAAGAATGTGACTGTATAGAAAAAAGGGTGCAGGAAATTTATTAAAATGTTCATTGTAATTGTCTCTAGGTGGTGGAGTTACAGATTTTGTTTCCTTCTCTATACTTTCCTATAGTTTAGAAATACATGATATATAAAAATACATTTTTTCCACAATGGCATATATTACACCTCTAAATGGAAAGAATACGTAACATTAAGAAAATCATTTACATATTTAAAAAGTCACCACATATACCTCTATATCTTATTCGATTCTTGAATTAACATAGAAGTGTTTGGTTAATAAAATAGGATAGTGGGCCTAGGCAGCAGGGTGGCCTCAGGCCAGGAGATCAGCCCAGGCAAGAGTGAGATCCAGTCTCTACAGAAATTTTTTAAAAAGTCGTCAGGTGCTGTGGCACTTACCTGTAGTAACAGCTGCTTGGGAGGCTAAGGTGTAAAAAAAGACTGGCCAGGAAGTCAAGGCTGCAGTGAGATATGCTCTTTCCAGTGCATTCCAGCCTGGGCGACAGAACGAGATCCTGCCTCTAAAATACAAATAATAGTAATATTAACATTTATTTGCTTAAACAAGTTTTTATTCCTGTCCTACACAGAAATGCATTTTTCCTTCAGCCACCAGATGGCAGTCTCCTCCCATATATTGTCCCATTTACAGCTTGCTGAAGCACATTTTTAGGGATTGTGCATCATTTACATAAATACTTTTGATTTTCAACTAACAAGTTATATTATTTATGTTTACAGCATATTTCAATACACATTAAGAAAATTATGAGATTTAATTATTTAAAATTTAAATCGATTTTCTCATAAACATCTCATGTTTATTGGTATCATCTCAAGTAATTCTATCCCAATCAACTCACCACGCAGAAGGTAGTAAGAATTCCCTTCTCTTTTGAATTTCGTTTTGCTTTTATTCTTGATTTAGCCTTTTGGACTTGCAGATGATGCCCGCAGACATTCTTCAGTTTAACTGGTGGTGTTGAAGGATGAACAGACTGCCATCCTCCTTCCATGTATGCCAGCTGACTCCACAATGGCAGAGACCTAAGAATTGGCATTCATAGTTGGGGGAGGGGGTCAAAGTGAACCAAGCTTCCCAAGCTCAGAGCTGGTAGGAGAAGGGATATTCCTGTGGGGAATGTCCTGGTGGCACATATTCTAAATGATTCTAAAATCTTGCCTGCAATAATGCATTCAGGAATATTAATGAAGATTCCTAAGAGTTTGGAGGATAATGGCTTGTCTAGCAATATATATATTTTAAATGGCCATTTTCCACTATATATAAGGTATTATTGGTATCAAATAAATCTCAAATTCTCTCCAGAGTTTTTTTCCTTTTTTCTATTCCTTTCTTTCCAAAGTCTGATTGCTGGTCAAAAATGATTCTTCTTTGAGTTTCACTTTCGTCAGATGATGACACATCTGCCTGGTATTACATTTCCAATTTGCAATACACAGTACTCAGGGAACTGGTCAAATTTGGTACACTCGGAACTGTTTTTCTGGTGGATCAGCCAAGTCTTTCCTTTTGAACACGTGAGGTGCATTTATAATGTCTAAATTTTAGGACTGAACATTACATTCAAGGGTGATTACTACACATTAGAGAAGACTCTGTAAGCACGTAGTAAGTTTTCATAATTGTCTTCTGATTACAGAATACACGCTCTTTATAAATCTTTTGCAATACACTGAAAGCTCAAGGGAGAAAAGTTGAAATTGTTCGTAATTTCCCAACACAGCAAAAGTGCCTGATAAGTGGCTATGAAATCAATTATAAGGATTTGTGTCTAAAAACATCAATACTTCTGCATTCTTATCATTTTCCATAGTAAAACGTTAATATTTGGAGTTTTTTGCAATTGTGAATGATTTTAAAGTTAGTAACAGAAAGTTCTCTGTGGTTTGGTCTTTAAGCTAGATATCAACCTACACTTTAAAACAATTTTTATTCACGTTTTCTTTTCTCGTGTTTGTTTAGGGTTAAATATTTTTCTTAACTTCTGTTAACACCTCTGGTCATGAACATGCAGCTGTCTGACTGATCGATCTTCCTTGAGATAACGGAAAGTCTGAGTGCTATTCTTGCTATTGCACACATTTCTGTGGGACCTCAGCAAGTTAATTATCTTCTTTGTGTGCTTAATCCTCTTAGAGCACAGCCCTCGTCACTTCTGTATGCTATGCCATTCTATGAGGATGAATGTTTCTCTTTATCCTCTGTATATAGAAATGGAAAAAACAGAGTTAAGTACAAGAACAAGAAGCCCAAGTGTTTGTATCAAGCTAAGAAACGGGCTCAATATCTGCAGAATTCAATGTCTGCTTCAGTCTTTTCGTAGGTTTTAGAGCACAATTTTAATTTAGAAAGGATTGGAAGTTAATATTCAAATGGTTTTCTTTTTAATTATTTTCCTAATCTACTCAAACAAACAAACTTAAAAATAATATCATCTCTGTCATTAATTGCTACTTGGTGTGGGAATAACATGTTTCAAAGTAACAAATAAAACTACAGATTTCTTTTTAGAACATTTCCTATTAATTCGTTATGAGAACATTTGTGGAGCACTGACATTGATGAATAAAATGCCGCATTGACTTGGAGTCTAGTGAACAAGTCAGAGAAATAGACAATTATACTGTACTGAAAAATTATTTATTGAGTGCTACTGTTTCAGGTAATGTTTTGGAGACTGCAGATAGAGCAGTGAACAACACATATCAAAATTTCCACTCCCGTGGAGCTGACATTTTAGAGAAGGCAGACAGACAGTAAATAAACAATCACATAATACCTACGGGGTGGCACGTGGCGATGGAAGCTGCAGAGAAAAATAACAGGCTATAGGAAGAAGGAAGCCAGACCGGAGATTCCCGGGCAGAAGAGCACCATCAGTCTTATCGCTGCTGTTTTGGCCGGTGCAGTGGGTTGCTCAGATTCCAGCGCTGGGAATCAATAAATTGGATGTCCACCCAGAAACCTAATTAGAAAGGCAGTAATTGTAAAGACAATAGATGGATAAATTTATAACAAAGGGAAGAAACCAGCCTAAAAGGCTGAGAATACCCAAAATCAGAATGCCGCTCCCTCTAAAGAGGATCACAGTTCCTCATCAGCAATGGAACAAGGCCTGATGGAGAAGGACTGTGTTCCATTATCTGAAGTATGCTTCAGAAGGTGGATGATAAGAAACTGCTGGGAGTTAAAAGAACTTGTTCTAACCCAATGTAAAGAAACTAAGAACTTTGAAAAAAGGTTTGACTAAATGCTAACAAGAATAGACAATATAGAGAGGAATATACATGAGTTAACGGAGCTGAAAAACACAACACGAGAACTTCGTGAAATATGCACAAGTTTGAATAGCCAAATTGATCAAGCAGAAGAAAGGATATCAGAGGTCAAAGACCTACTTAATGAAATAAAACGAGAAGACAAAAATTGAGAAAAAAGGATAAAAAGGAATGAGCAAAGTCTTCAAGAAATATGGGACTATGTGAAAAGACCTAATCTACGTTTGATAGCTGTACCTGAATGCAACAAAGAGAATGAATCCAAGCTGGAAAATACTCTTCACGATATTATTCAGGAAAACTTTCCCAACCTAGCAAGGCAGGACAATATTCAACTCCAGGTAATACAGAGAACACCACAATGATATTCCTCAAGAAGAGCAACCCCAAGGCACATAATCGTTAGATTCACCAGGGTTGAAATGAAGGAGAAAATACTAAGGGCAGCCAGAGAGAAAGATCAGGTTACCCACAAAGGGAAGCCTATCAGACTCACAGCAGATCTCTCGGCAGAAATCCTACAAGCCAGAAGAGAGTGGGGGCCAATATTCAACATCCTTAAAGAAAAGAACTTGCAGCCAGAATTTCATATCCAGCCAAACTAAGCTTCACAACTGAAGGAAAAATAATTTTTTTATGAACAAGCAAGTACTCAGAGATTTTATTACCACCAGGCTTGCTTTATAAGAGCTTCTGAAAGAAGCATTACACATAGAAAGGAACAACCAGTATTAGCCTTTCCAAAAATATACCAAAAAGTAAACAGCATCAACATAATGAAGAATTTACATCAACAAATGGACAAAACAGCCAGCTAACATCAAATGGCAGTAATCCTAAATTTAAATCGACTAAATCCCTTAATCAAAAGATACAGCCAAACCCAACGGTATGCTACATCCAGACCCACTTCACATGCAAGGATATGCAAAGACTCAAAACAAAGGGATGGAGAAAGATTTACCAACCAAATGGAGAGCAAAAATAAACAAATAAATAAAAAGCAGGAGTTGCAATTCTCGCCTCTGATAAAATAGATTTTAAAGCAATAAAGATATAATTGTAAAAGGATCAATGCAACAATAAGAGCTAACGATCCTAACACCCAGATACATAAGACCCATAAAAAGACTTAGATTCCCTAGACTCCCACACAATAATAGTGGGAGACTTCAACATCAATGTTAGATAGATCAACAAGACAGAAAATTAATAAGGATATCCAGGACTTTAACTCAGATCTGGAACAAGTAAACTGAATAAACATCTACAGAGCTCTCCACTTTAAATACACAAAATATACATTCTTATCAGTATCACATCACACCTACTCATCGCTTTAAATGAAATATTGATCAGCCATTATGAAGCACAATTATTGGCATAAAAGAAGTTTTCAATACCCATTTTTAGAATAAAACAACATTCCTGTTCTTTCTCCCTCTTTTTCTTCCTCTGTCTTCCTCTCCTTCCTTCCTTTTTTTAATTCTTTCTTTCTCTCCTTCTTTAAACAAATAAATAAATAAAAATAAAGTTGGATCTCCACCTCACACCATAAATAAATAAAGACTTTGGCTTTTGCTTAAAAGTGAGATCGTCAGAGGCATCCTCACCAGAGCTACTCCATCTTGAATGGGGGCTTGGTAAAATAAGGCTGAGATCTACTGGGCTGCATTCCCAGGAGGTTAAGGCGTTTTCACTGACAGGATGTGATAGGAGGTCAGCACAAGATGCAGGTCATAATAACCTTGCTGATAAAAACAGGTTGTAGTAAAGAAGCCAGCTGAAACCCACCAAAATCAACATGGCAACGAAGTGACCTCTGGTGGCCATCATTGCTCATTATACACCAATTATAATGCATTGGCACACTAAAAGTCCTACAGTCACTCGCAGCAGCACCATGACAGTTTGCAAATGCTTTGGCAACATCAGGAAGTTACCCTATATGGTCTAAAAAGGGAGAAACCTTCAGTTCTGGGATCTGGGAACTGCCTTCCCCTTTCCTGGAAAACTCATGCATAATCCACCCCTTATTTAGCAGATAATCAAGAAATGACCATAAAGGGCAACCAGCAGCCCTCGGGGCTGCTGTGCCTATGGAGCAGCCATTCTTCCCCTACTTTCTTAATAAATTTCCTTGCACTTTATGGACTCACCCTGAATTCTTTCTCACTCGAGATCCTCTTGGGGTCTGGACTGGGACCCCTTTCTGGTAACAAGATGAGAAGCCAACTAGAGAGTTTTGAACGAAAGAGTGAAGTGATCTGACTTTAACACATGAACCCAAATTAGGAGGATATGAGGGGATGGCAATCTGGACTGGGGTGGTAACAGTGAACGTGTTGAAACGCGGTCGGATTCTAGATATGTTTTGAGAGAAAAGCGGACAGAATATGCTGATGGGTTTGATGTCAGCTGAAAGAGTCGAGTTTTGGTCCAAGGAACATTACTTTTAATGAAAAACTGAGTTGATACTTTTGTATTATGACATAGCCCATGTAATTGCTTTGACACTGAAGTCATAGATTTCTGCCAAAAGGGATTTATTTCCTGTCTAAAGCCTAATATATCCCACACTTCATGTCATTGGTTGAGACTTCCGTAACTGTCAATCAGACGAAGAACAAGAAACCTTTGTTCTGTAGTAATTATCAGGCTTTAATACTATCTCTACGAAGGGCTCCGCCACATTATTATTTTCTTCTTTTTTGAGATAGAGACTCACTCTGTCACCCAGGCTGGAGTTCAGTGGCATGATTTCTGTTCACTGCAACCTACCCATCCCAGGCCCAAGTGATCCTCTTACCTCAGCCTCCTGAGTAGCTGGGATTATAGACATGCACCAACCACGCCCAGCTAATTTTTGTAGTTTTGTAGAGATGGGGTTTCACCATGTTGCCTGGGGTGGTCTTGAACGCCTGGACTCAAGCGATCCTCCCTGCTTGGCCTCCCAAAGTGCTGGGATTAGAGGTGTGAGCCACCATGCCCCACCTCTATCAGATATTTTGGATCCGTTTAAGGTACCAGGCCGTTTCCCAAACCCTAAGACATATTTAAGAATGAGGCAAGTGGAAGGCCATCCCCATGTATTACATGACATAAATGTAATTCAAATGTTTGTTTGCTTCATTCAAATAATGCAATGTCCTTGCCATCTTCTAGTGA